ACCACCAAAACAACCCTGCAAAGAATACAGAAAGATATTCTGGACATACATAGAAACAAACCACTAAGCAAGGCAGACAATTAAACAGACTAGAAAGGTAAAGCATCAACAGCAGAAAGATAACATGCCAAAAATAAACCAATATATATTAGTTATAACCATTCATGTAAATGGCCTCAATTCACCAATTAAAAGAAACAGGCAGAATGGATCAAAAAACAACATTCAACCATATGCTATACAAGAAACCCAGCTAACCCAAAAGGAAAGTCATAAACTGAAAGTCAAATGATAGAAAACAATCCTGCATGCAACGGGAATCAAAAAAAAAAAAAAAAAAAAAGCAGGGGTAGCTATTCTGTTTGCAGACAATGTGAACTTCAAATCAAGAATGACTAAAAAGAAGGTCACTACATACTAGTTAGGAGAAAACTTCAAAAGAGATAACATATATATGTTAATATAAATAAATATATATGATAAATATATATGAACCAAATTCGGGAGCACCCAGCTATACAAAGCAAATATTAACAGAAATGAAAAATCAAATAAGCAATAACACAATTATAACAGGAGACCATAACAGGTCATTGACACAAAGGGACAGATCAACCAGAGAGAAAATCAGCAAAGAAATAACAAAACTGAAACACACCTGTGAACAAATGGACTCAGTGGATGTATACAGTGTTCCATCTAACATCAGAATATACATTCTTCTCAGCAGCATCTCTAAAATAGACCATATACTAGCCTGCAGCACATGGCTAAGTAAATACAGAAGAAATGAAATTATCCCATGCATGCTATCAGATCATAGCACCATGAAACTAGAAATTAATGACACAAGAAACTGCAAAAATCCACAAACACATGGAAATTGAATAATATACTCCTGAGCAATCAATGAGTCACAGAGTAAATTAAAGGAGAAATTAAACAATATCTACAGGCAAATGAAAATACAAAGACAAATTACTGGAACCTGTGGGATACAATAAAAGCAGTCCTCAGAGGAAAATTTACTGCATTGAATTCCCCAATCAGGAAAACAGAATGCACACCAATAAACAACGTGATGCTACACCTCAAACATCTAGAAAAAGAAGAGCAAGAAAAGCCCAAAGCCAAAAGAAGGGAGAAAAGTATAAAGATCATAGCAGAAATCAATGCAATAGAGACTAGGAAAACAACAGAATGAACCAATGAATCAAAGAGTAGGGACTTAGAAAGAATAAATAAAACTGATAAGCCCCTAGACAACTTTATTTTAAAAAGGAAAAAAACCTCTCAATCTCATGCATTAAGAAAGAGTGAAATCACTACAAGACCCTGTGGAAATACAGAAGATCATCAATACCTATTTTAAAACCTCTACTCTCATAGGCTTGATAACACAGAAGAAATGGATACATTCCTACAAACATATGAATTACCAAAGTGGAGTCAAGAAGATGTAAAACTGCTGAATAGCCCAATTTCAATTAATGAAATTGAAAATGTAATTAAATCCCTACCAACAAAGAAAAGCCCAGGTCCAGATGGATTCACTGCAGAATTCTAGAAGAAACTCAAAGAAGACTTAATGCTGACACCCCTAAAACTCTTCAATGAAACTGAAAGGGAAGCAATTCTCCCTAACTCATTCCTGGAAGCAAGTATTACTCTAATACCAAAACCAGAGAAAGACTCAAACAAAAAAGAGAACTATAGGCCAATCTCCCTAATGAACACAGACACAAAAATTCTCCATAAAATATTGGCAAACAGAATTCAGCAAATCAAGAAGATTATACACCATGACCAAGTGAGATTCATCTCAGGCATGCAGAGATGGTTCAACATATGTAAATGAACAAATATAATCCACCATATCAACAGAGCCAAAAATAAGATGATGATCATTTCTACAGATGTAGAAAAAGCTTTTGACAAGGTCCAACACTCATCCATGATAAAAACCTTACAGGAAATTGGATTAGATGGTCTTTACCTCAATAAGGTAAAAGCCATCTATGACAAACCAACAGCCAGCCTCATATGAAATGGCCTTTATAGTAAAATCAGGAACAAGACAACAAGTCCATTATCATCACTCTAATTCAATATAGTGCAGGAAATGCTAGCCAGAGCAATTAGACAAGAGAGAGAAATAAAAGGAGTAAGGACAGAAAAAGAAGAAATTATCATTATTTGTAGATGATTATGATACTCTACATAGAAGATCCCCAAAACTCCATTGAAAGACTCCTATGTATTCCTAAATTCAGTAATGTGGCTGGTTACAAAGTCAACACTCAAAGATTAATAGTATTCCTATACACAAACATCACTGAGAGAGAAAAGAGGGAAGCCACACCCTTCATAATAGCATCCAAAAAAATGAAATACTTAGGGATCAATCTAACAAAAGTAGTAAAAGATCTATTCAGGGAAAATTATAAGCCTGAAAAAAGAAATTGAAGAAGATCTCAGAAAATGAAAGGCACTCCTTATTCATGGACAAGAACAAATATTGTGAAAATGGCCATTCTCCCAAAATTGCTTTCAGATTTAATGCAATTCCAATCAAAATACCACTAGCATACTCACAGATCTAGAGAAACCATTCCTAAAATTCATCTGGAACCAGAAAAAGCCTAGAAGAGCAAAGGCAGTTCTAAGCAACAAAGGGAAGGCAGGAGGCATCACAATCCTTGACTTTAAGTTACATTACAAAGCTACTATAATAAAATCAGCATAGTACTGGAATAAAAACAGACCTGAAGATCAATGGAATAGATTAGAAGATATAACTACAACTACAAACACACTCAGCCACCTTACCTTTAATAAGAGGCCAAACATGTTCACTGGAAGAATGACAGTCTCTTTAATAAGTGGTGCTGGGAAAACTGGCTCTCTATATATCAAAAAACTAGACCCACGCCTATCACCATGTACTAAAGTCAAAATGCATCAAAGATCTAAATATTAAACAGAAACACCAAATCTGTTGAAAGATCAAGTAGGGAGAAATCTTGAAGGGGTAGAGAAGCCATGAATAAGCATCAAATGCACAGAAAATACTTTGCAGAATCAATAGCTGGGATCATGTTTTATTAAAAAGTTTCTGCATGTCAAAAGAAATCTCCGACAGAGTAAAAGGGAAACACATGAATTTTGAAAAAAATCTCAGTCAACTGTCCCTCAGACAAAGGACTTCTGTCTAGAACATATAAAGAATTAAAAAAAAAAAAAATCAGACTCCTGATATTCAAAGACCCAATCCAAAAATGGGCTTTTGAGATGAATACACAATTCTCACATAAAGTAATACAAATGTCAAATAAATACATGAAAAAATGTTCAGCATCATTACTCATTAGAGAAATACAAATTAAAACCACACTGAGATTCCATCTCACTCCAGAAAAAATGGCCAGCGTAAAGACCAACAACAAATATTGGAGAGTTTGCAGGGGGTGGGGGGTGGGGAGTGGGAAGGAATTCTTCCGCACTGTTGGTAGGAGTGTAGAATGGTACTGGAGGGTCCTCAAAAAGCTGGGATTGGAAGTCCCATTTGACCCAGCTATCCCACTTCTGGGCATATTCCCAGGAGAACTGAAAATGTCGTATCAGTGATATATGTGCATGCCGTTTACAGCAGCACAACTTGTAATAGCCAGATCTTGGAAACAACCTAAATGCCCATCAACTGAGAAATGGATAAAAAAGATGTGGTATTTTTATACAATAGAGTACTACTGAGCTATAAAGAATGCTCACGAGGTATTTATAAATAAATGGATGCAACTTGAGACCATACTCATAAGTGAAATAAATTAAACTTGTATGTGTAAATACCGTATTGTCTCCCTGTGTAAGAACGGTATGTATATAAAATACAAAATCCTCAATAAATACAGTGAAAGGGTAAGAATCTGCTCAAAGGGGAAAACTATTAGGGAAAAGGAGGAAAAAGAAAAAGTGTAAAGAAAATGTATCTAAATTTGTATAAACACACAGGATAGCTAAGATGATTGTGCTATAAATTCTGTAAGTTCTTGGAACACTTAACATTCACAGGATTGGAATGATTTTGCATGTTTGTGTCTGGTGATCTGAGGAATTCTTGAAGATTATTATGTAAAATAACAACCTTAGTTCTGTTCCTACCTCCTTGAAGGCCTGTATCACCATTGTTTTGGGCTCTTTGCTATTGTTATTTGTCTTTTTTGTTTCTTGTTTTTCTAGTTTTGTTTTTCCCTCTAATGCAGGAAGGATAGGTGTACACGTAGAGGCTTATACATGCCTAGAACTTCTAAACAGTTTACGAGAATCGATTATATTATGCGTGATGAAATGAACAGCTTCCCTATTATGTTTCATAAATAAATCATTATAATGTGCACAATTAAAGATAGTAATAAAAAATTAAATGATATGCCTAAAGCAAAGTAAGTAGATATCCAACAAGTGCTGCTATGAATTAACTTTCTGCTGGAGGGAAATGCTTTCAAAGCATTTCCTTACACTTGACATTACCCAGTTTCTTCAAAAATTACTGATAACAAAATGTCAAAATTTCCTTTTTCATCTCCCCTCTTTCTAGAAGTAATCAATGGCTCGTCTTTGAAATATGCTGCATCATAAGCATGCCCCCAGCTCTCAAGGGCCCCATCAGTGGCCTCTGCACTCTTGGCCACATCATGCTGAGGGACTGGGCTGGCCAGGAAAAGCCCCACACTGCCTCCTGCTCAGACAGGGCACTGCTGGCTTCCCTTACACGAAGGCAAAGGGGAAGAGCAGTCCTAACACCCTGACCAATAAGCTAGGTGACAAGCAATCCACCGCTAAAGAATTTACCATTGTGAAACATCAAACACACGTTTTTAAAAATTTGAAAGTGTTGGGGGAAGGAAAATACATTATGAAGAATCTGTGATGCATTTAAAATGTGGACTGCTGTGACGGATTTGTGTAGCAGAGATACTGGGAAAAGGATATCGACATACTTCCACTGTATCCCAGGGCTACATTTTCCTTTTCTTCCTCTGCAGGTTGCTCTTCTCCGAGACATAGCTTGCAGTCCTGTGCTTGCCCTACAGGGGACTCAGGCACTGCAGCAGTGGGGCCCTCTTTCTGGATGCTTCTCCTGCCAGCCAGTTCTCTCTGTGCTCTACTCCCCACCACAGGGGAGCAGCTGCCTTCCTGCCATGGACCAGCAGGGTCATGGGTAGCATGGTGACCTGCTGTGGGCCCTGCATCTTCTGCCTGGTAATGCCCAGCCTGCCTGCAGCACTCCGGGTTTTTCTCAGCAGCAGATGTGTCCTCTGCAGCGACGCATGCAGGACTCTGAAACCTGGAGTTAGCTTTTGCATTCAAATTGGTGAGGCTGACCACTCTTGGTTTTTCCCCAATACAAGTGAGGTCAGACATTTCTAGGATATTGGCTCTCTCCCTCTGGGAAAGGCTTCTGCAGGTGAGGGGAGCAGGACATGACAAAGGCTGAGACCCAGAAGGATAGTTCCCTGAGGTCCTCTCCTGGAGGTTCTCGGGGGAGAAGTAATCCTCGTAAGAGGATGCCCCACTGTCAGGAGTCTCCACAGTGGATGAGAATGGGAATTGTAGGCAGTATCTGGACCTGAGCAGTTGTGTGCAGGGCATTGAGGACCTCTGGCTGCTCCTCCTCCTCTTCGGCGTTTCTCTCAGAGGTGTGTACAAGTCCGCAGACACCCTTGTCCTGTTTGCCAAGGAGCTCCGGAGCACTGTTTGCAGCCAGAGATGCCTTCTGGTTGCAGATGTCGCAGGAGACGGGCTGCTTTTTTCCTCACTCATTTCAGATACCTCTGCAGCCTGCTTTCTCTCTAGGGTGACTATTTCACCACCTGGGTCTTGTGGCCAATTGATTCCTTCCTTTGGAAGAGCACCTGGGGGTTTCTGGGGATCCAACTCACTGAGGCTGCCGGACGATGCTAGTGAGCCAGTGTGACCTGTTCTCAGTACAGGTGAGGAATTGCACGCTTCACTTTTAATTTCCTTAACAGATTCTTCCAATTTCCTCTCCTGATTTCCACAGAGATCATCCAAAGATGAGTGTAAATCACCAGCAAAGGATTTACCTGGGAATATTAAAGAATTAACCATAAAATATTCTGTAAATGGAATCTTTAGCTGACCAATAAAAGAACACTTTTTTACAGCTATTAATTAAGAAGAGTACTGACCCAGTTTTGGTTCTCATTTCCTTTCAGGTTTATTCTTAATTAAGGCATGTAGTTTCCACCAGGGAATCTGGGCTTCTGCACAGTATTGGTCAGGACAAGGAGTGGCTCCAAGAGCCTTACACGTCTTTTCATATGAATGTGCACTTTTATCTATAGCTCTTTCCCAAATTCTCCAGTCTGTGCAGTATTTGAACTGCTGCCTTACATGATTGAGGTCGAGCTCTAGTCTTCCACAAAGCATTCCCCTAGGAAGGCTGGTCTTCACTTTCTCAATCTCCTGATTAAGGCCTTATGCTAGACTTATATTCAAAAGTGACCCATGTGGGAACCAAAACTGTCTGAACCATCATGCAGCTTACCCCTTCTCTTGAGAGTAACGCTGAGCTGCAGGCCACCTCCAGAAAGTCCTACAGGCTTCTCCTGGACTCTTGCTCCAAAACCATTTGGCTGTCAGTGCCCCATGAACCCCATGCTGGCCTCGACAGGTGTCAGCCACACTCCTTGACGGCATGGGAGCAGGCACCTAGCCGCACAGGGAAATCCTGCTGGAGGACCGAGGCTATCTCCTCTTCCCTGAGCACAGCTGGCCCAGGGCGGGCCCCTCCCTGCTCTAAGAACCTCTACAATCTATAGAGGCTGCACAGGATTCTCACCATGAACTCACTGAACTTCCAGAGGAAGAAAGGGGGTCACGGAAGAGTCCCCCTCGAGGCTTTTGGGAGGCCCAGCAGCAGCAGGCGGTGCCTATGCCAAGGCAGCCTTAGGGCCGAGGCTGGAACACAGGACCCTTTCAGTCTTAGCAGCTGAGTGTCTATTACACTTTGGAAAGCTGATCCACAGGGTGACATATCCTCACAAGTCAGACTAAGTCAGAGCCCTGCGTTCAGCACTCAGAACCCTGGTGACCTGTGCAAGCTTTGACCTCCTGGTGTTCTGGCTTTTTCTGTGGCAAATGGGGATGGTGATGGCATCTACTCCATGGGCTAACAGACGTCGGTGGAGTACAGCAAGACTTGTGAATTAGCACCTGCACATAGTAAAATGGGGCTGGCATAAGCTGCTGTCATCATTTGGTTTCCAGCCTAACCTTGGTTCATAAACTTCATTTATCCTATGATTTTGGAAAAGATGGCAACAGTCCTATTTGCTCCCTGATGCAGAGTCTGGAAACAAAACAAAATTTTGCCAAATGCTTCCATTTGTGAACCGAACTGTTTACAAACAAAAGTGTTCGCAAATTGATGTGCCACTATAAAAAAGATTAAATAGTTAAATAACTCAAACAGGCACAGAAGAAATAGCAAGAAAAAACTGCATTATCCAGGTGTGGTGGCACATGCTGGTGACTGGGGTACTCAGGCTGAGGCAGGAAGATCTCAAGGTGAAGTCTGGCCTGGATTTTACAGCAAGATGTTTTCTCAATAAAACAAAATGAAACAGACTGAGAGGAAGCCAGGGTTAGACATTGTGATCTGTGCATTATCACTGCTGCTACTTTCCTAACAAGGTGTCCCACAGTCGGAGTCCCTCTGAACACAGTTCTATCTCACCACTCTTGACCTAGGCTCTCTTGCAGGCTGGGTCAGAAAATGACAAGAAATCAGAGATAACCAAAGCACAGTTGTAACTTATTACTGCAAGTCAGTCTAGGGTCAGACGTGAAAAACTACGCATACACATGTGTGCAATGACCTCAGTCAGTGCCTCGCCCGGCTGCATGTCTCAGGCTGGGCAAGGCAGTGCTCACTAAGCTGTGACTGCCCCTCCCCTACTGTTTGACGTGTACACAGGTGAGTTCACAGGAGGTCACAAGAATTTTAAAAAGTAGCCAGGTGTGGTGGCTCATGCCTGTAATCTCAGCATGTGGGAGGCTGAGGCAGGAGGATCACTGTGAGTTCGAGACCAGCCTGAGCTACAAAGTGAGCCGCCTGAACCGAATAGCGAGACCCTGTCTCAAAAAGACAAAAAAGAAAAAAAAAAAAAGAATTTTAAAAAGTGTGAAACTGATTCCATGGTGAGAAAACAAACACCAAGGTGGAAAGCCACAGGAACCAGAGGGGATGCTGGACTCAGGAATCTACCATGCATTCATTACAATTGGTGCCAGAATCATCAGAGAAACATGACATTCTAAATAAAACAACCACTCAATTCTCATTATCTGAAATATGACACAAGGGAAATAGTAACTTACCTGCATACAAAGTACCCCCGGAAATGTTCACAGATGCTTCACACAGAGAGTCATCTGGAGTTTCCTGAGCCAGCTCGGTCCTCTGGGATGCTGTCAAGGGAATTGAAAGACCACACAGACTTCAGTGCTTTCCAAAGGATAGGACAACAGTGTCCCCACCCACTGCACTGGATGTTTTTTGTTTTTTTCTGAAGTACTGGAGATTGGACCCAGGGCCTTTGCACTGAGCTAGAGCCCCGGCCCTTTTTAATGGTTCTGTGACAGGGTCTCCCTGGTCTCGCATAACCCACTGTACATTAACTTGTGTCTTCTTTCTGCTATACATTTCAGACTTCAACGTGAAATAGCAAGCACAAAGAAAAACTTTAGACAATCTACTAGATACAAAATTACAAAATTCTCTATCCATCACATTATTTAGAAAGTGTTAAATGATAGAACCACAAAAATTACATGGGTGTTGAAAAGCTAACTTGCCTGAATGGATCTAGTCAGAAGCTTAACAAAGGTACAAGTGCATTTTCGGCTTGTCCTGCAGCTTGATAACCAGGCTCCTTCTTCAGGGAAGCTCCCACTAGTCACCTTCGTAACTAGGGCAGTGGCACTCAGCCACGGGAGGTGTGGGTCCCCAGCAGAGGTCTGGTAAAGTCTGGAGACATTTTTGGAATGCAGTGGTGAGGAATGGTATTGACAAGAGTCCTCAGAACAGGGAGTCATCCAGCCAAATGTCAATAGTGCTGAGGATAAGAAACCCTAGGGGCACGTAGAAACTACCCAATGACATTTACCAATGACATTAACGAGTGAGGGTGCAGGTGTTATCTGTGAGTGTGATGCATGCGGCACACAGAAACAAAGTTAAGTGTATGGATCACACACCCAAAATATCTTTTTTTTTTTTTAATCTGGGATTGAACTCACGATCTGGTGCTTGCCAAGCAGGCGCTTACGCCACTGAGCTAAATCTCTGGCCTCCAAAGGTATCTTTTAAAAAGACTCAGAAGGAAACTTTTGTGACAAAGTGACCAAGCCACTGTAAAAACAGAATTATAGATAAGGAAGGTGAGCACCGGCCGCTGAGTGCAGTCTGGCAAGCAATGGGATCATTGAGGTGAAGATGAATTAGTTCATGATGTGTCCCAACAGTCTGGATTCCACCTGGGACAAAGCTGGTCTCTCCAGACCCACCACAGCACTCTTAACACCAGCACCCTGGCTGCATCCTAGGAAAGCCTGTATTCCGTCCTGTGGGTCCCTGGAATGGCAGGGGACTAGGTGCAGCCCCAGAATGAGGAAGAAGTATGGATGGGGCACCTTAAGGGGCTGGCTAGGTGCGAGGCGCCAAGTCAAACACATAGATGGGGACCTGGACTCCCAAAAACACCTCGCGCAGCTTAGTCTAGTCTGGCTGTCCACTTCTAAACTTGACAAGCAGAGAGCTGCAGTCCTACCTAAGTCACCAGTGTTTCTATTTGTTATGTGCAGCTAAAACTATCAACTGACAGAGGTGTCCATTTGTATCATATAAAATACAAATGCAAGATAGGTTATATTGCCTCAAAAACACTCAAGAAAGAAATGAAAAATGTAATAGGCAGAGAGACAAAGACATAAAATCCAGAGGCAACTGTTAATAATATATTAAGTTACACTTAGCAAGTCACAGTCAATCGTATGAAAAAATATTCAGCTTCTCTAATAATCAAGGCAAATTAAATATAAAGTTTTTCAATCTTTAGATTTCTTTCAGATTGAAAAAATATTCAGTTAATGCCACTGAGTTTTCCAAGTATGGGGGAAACTGGGATTTTTGTAGACAATCAGTAAAGTTCATGTATGACTCAAAATTTTTGAAGCGTAATTTGTGTATCAAAACTTTTAAATCATCTTTATGAATTAATACTAAAATGCATGAAACCTTAGAAATGTAAGTGTCTATGGTACAGCCATGTAGGGTTATAATTGTAAGAAGTGGTGAAAAGAATTAAATAAAAATGCAAACAGCACAATGTAGTTTAAGTAAAAACAAAAACAAAAGCAGTGCATCTCTGCACAGAAACCCCACCTCTATCACATCCCTGCACACAAAGAGAATGGTGCTCTGCAAAAGCTCTGGACAAGTTAAAATACAGGCCACACCCGAGCAAGGACAAAGATTTAGGTGGGACTCCAGATGAGTTGTAACTATCAGTTACATTGTTAGATGTCCAATTGCTAGTTAAGTAGTTAAAAACATTAAAATTAAGAAATTATAAACTGACACCTTGGCTACATTAATCCAGAGTAAATTCTTTCAAAAGAGAAATGTAATTCTTTTAAAAAAGAAAATATTTCAGAGATGTTAAAAATGACAAGAGTTCTGACAAAAAGGATTTTAAACCTGGAAAAAACTATACATCCCAATATAAGCTTCAAAAGTCTTAACAAAGTATACAACTTTCTGGAATAAATATTATTAAGGTCTTCATTGAAATATCAGGAAACAATATTATGTAAAGAAAAAACTTTCCACTGTAACTTGTCCACATATTTGCATAATTTTCATTTTACAAACTGATCACGTACAGGTAGGGGAAAGATGTTCCCTTTTCTCCTTCATCTCCTGCAGTCTCTTCTCCATTGTGTCCTGGTAACTATTGATTTTAACTGAGGAACTATACGTCAATGAGCCACAAGACTCAAGTAAGAAAACAGGCACGTTGTTATCTGAAAACACAGAAATTCAACTTTAGGCTCAAAGATACACTTTTGCACCTCTGTAGCATGACCTCCCTCAGGATACCACCCCGCCACCTTCCTTGCCACCACCCCTGCTGCACCCACTCATGTGACCCATGCCACTAGTACCCTCTCAGTCATCTCATCTCACCTCACCTTGCCCTAACCAGATCCACGTGCACGCCAGAGGCCTGGGCCCTCACATCCAGGTGAGCAGACCAGACACAGAAGTTACACACAGGGTGCAGTGTGGCTCCTCCATATGACCTCACGCCAGGTGTTGACACTGGTCCCCATTAACCACTGCTCCCAGCTGCACACACACACCCACACACACTGCATGAGGTGGGGACCAGGGTTTTCCCACGCCATCAAAAGGCCACATTAAGATCTGTCTATCTCAGGTCACAAAACAAAAAGACCCAGTGTGAACACAGGCAAGATGAACACAGTCAAGAACTACTTGGGGCTTATGTCGATCAGGCTGACAGGTAATACTTTGTTTCATAATCATGCATACAGGCTGACCAGGTAATACTTTGTTTCATAATCATGCATAACAATAACGAGCTCCACCCACATGACACACGGTGAAGCCCGGTTCCGAGCACCCCCTGCCGCTCGGCGGCAGCTCCTCTTGTTTCTGAGGCTCCCAGTAGGGCGCTCTCCCGCCTCAGCTAACCCACAGGGCCCACCAGCCGGCAGGCAGCTGAATCCAGGAGGCCGCAACTGCAAGCAATGGGGTGCCTGCACCCTTACCTGGAGCTGTCTTTCGTCTCTGTAGCTCTTTAGTCATCTTCTCGAATTTCCTCTGAAGTTTTTTATCATTTTCTGGTGTTTTAGGAATGAAATCTTTGGGCTGCATGCACTTACGCTGTGCAGAAAGGATATAAGAATTAGTAATGCTACATTATAATAAAAATTCTTTTACAACAATAACAAAGAGGTTTTTGCACTTTATAAACTGGTAGCGTTTCTTTTTGTACCATTTTGTTAAAAGGCAGAATCTGAAAGATTAAGGAAGTGTCCTAAATAACTGTTTTCTAAGACACTTTCAGGATACCAACATCCTGAAATCTCTACAAAAGACCTTTGGAACTGTTCCTTACTATTTTTAGTTATTCTCTCATCATCTTCCCTTCAAAATCATGACATAGTAATAATATACAAAAGCAATTATCTTAGAATTACCAAAGAGAAGAACTATTATTTCATTACACCTTCTCATCTTTAAGTCACAGCAGCCCACTCAACCCAAACCTAGAACCGCCCAGAGCCCGCGCAAGCTAGACCAGTATTGTCTCACAGGACCTGGCTCAGAGAAAGGGAGGAGCACCTCTACCAGAACACCACTCTCTTCACAGCTGCCGTCGACCTCCCACACAGGTCACCTCTGCCGCGAGCCCCAACAGGGACCTCAGAGAAGCACGTCTTCCGCTGTGTGCCCTCAGGATTCAGGGTGATGTGACGGTCCAACCTGCCTACTGAGGACCAGTCTAACTCCTTGGTGACAGGTTTCTTTCTGCCCTTTCTCACTACGCCCAGGCTTGTGCTCCTGACTTAGAACATCAGTCCTCCCTCTTGCTCCTCTCTCATTAACACAAGTGCCAGCCCTCTCCCTGCAGCCTGGTCAGAGCCTGGCCATATGCAGCTTGCCCTCTAGCTTTACTAAGGATCCAACACTCCAAAGCATCTGAGGGTGACTAGTCTTTGGGCAACTTGTAGGTTTCCTGAAGCCCACAAGTCTCTCCCATTTTTTACAAAAGACATTGATGTATTCATGGGCTAAAGTAGTGAGGGTGAACCTTCTGGAGTTTTCAATGACAACAAACAGCCCGCTGCAGCACACATGCCATAGCTTCACCTCCACTGGGCTAAAGAAATCTTTAATTACCTACAAGTACCAGAAAAGAAAACAACAATTTTCATATGTAAGATAACTCTTAGGAAATACTCGAAAATGATTTCCTAGTAATAAAAATAAACTAATAAATTAGTAGCTGCCATGGTTTATGTGGAGACTGCACACTCACCTTTTTTTTCACCAGGCTTGTTGTGTGCTCTCTGGGATTAGCTGCCGGGAACAAGGACTCATCAGCATGCACACCAGTCATCCTGCACCTGCATAAGCAAGCGGAACAGTCTGATGCACATTCCTATCTACCAAGCTCACCGAGTGTCATGGTTTGTGTGTGGATGTCCCCTCAAAGCCTCATATGGTCATGGGTGGCATCTAGAGTTTGTGACTAATTTATGGTTCAGGACCGGGATTAGGGGTATGAGTGCTATTCTCGCCCTGGGGCAGGGAGCTTGTGTACAATTGCTCTCTTGCATCTTCCCTTTTTGCTCTTGTTTTCCACATTTGCTGTTTTCTGGGTCATGAACTACTGCCCTCTGCCACTCCACCTTGGAGCCATCCAAGTTGAATGAAAACCTCCACAAACTGTAACTCAGACCTTTCCTTCTGTCACTTTGGGTGTCTAGTATTTTGTCACAGCAACAAGGGAAAACTAACCAAAATGCAGAATTAAGAGTTAAATCTGCATATGCATCAGGTGGCACCTTAGGAAATCTCTGAGTAGATCACCACAATAGGTATTTCTTTTAAAATACATGTACTTAACCCCAAATGCAAAAGTCAATGTAAACTTTCCCAGATCTTTTCCATATGGAGTTTTTTTTAAAGTATAAGAGCAGAAGAGGTACAGGAAGTCAAATTTTTATGCAACAACTTTAGATTTGTACCTCAAACTTACCAGTACATGCTACTGACAAAGATAAAATTCGATGCTATTAAATATATGGTTAAGTCAGAACTAGGAGGTACCTAATGAAATTAAAGCCAAAGACTGTTGCTCTTCTAAAATTGGGCTTGGCTTTGTGTGTCTCTGTCAAGACCCCTGGAGGAGTAGGTGTGCACCCGTGCTGAGCTACACCTGTGTCCTCACACCTGCTGAATTGCCTCTCCTTACACTACTCCCCCTTCAGTCTTAGGGTGCCCTCATCGCTATCTCCTGTAAGCATTCAGCCACCAAATCTAAACAATACACTCATTTTTCAAGTGATCTACTGCCTCGGTTTCTGTATTACTGAATGATTACTCTCAGAACAGTTTACTCATCTTCCCTCACCAGGTCAAAAACCTCCCATCACTTCTATGATTACAAAAGGAACTCACATGTCCAGCTGCTCAATGTCTAAAACACAAACACAGATTTGAAAAAAAAATTAGGATATAGGGCGATGATACTTTCTACTGATACTGAAAGGTCTCTAAGCCATGTAAAGGAAAAGGAAGTTTTGGAAATAGGCATGTACCATCCCGCATGAGTCTATGCAGCATGGTAACTGACAACACTGGGCATTACTGGGAGGAATCCACAATGCTCAGAAAACCCCTTTCATCCTTCCGAGGGTATGAGAACTCAAGCTGTTTTCACAAGACAAGCACTTTCTTTCCCTTCCAATGGGCACACGACGGTTATGAAAACCAAGAGGTGTGTGTTACCCTAACAAACTGCATGCAGAGGCAGATGTGAGACACCAGCTGTCCTCCAGAATGGCTGCACAGAACTGTGCAACCTGCAGGTAAAACAACAGAAACTGCAGTCAGAGAAGTGCAACCAGGCAGGGCACGCGGAGCACTGTGTGCCAGAGGCATCTTGGTTCTGGTGGGTCTGGGAGCGCAGGCTACACTGGACCCATGCAGAGCACCTTGGCTGGTGCGCGGGACTCACGATTGAATGCATCAGTGAATGACTGGCGACTCAGGACTTTCTGAGGAGCTGTGCAGTCTGTGGGGAGCAAGCACCCTGACCAGGCCATGGCTAAGAAAGGTAGGAGGTGCCCAAGTCACAGCCTAAGTGACAGCTCCAGGGCAGGAGACTTGTCCTTGGGCTCTATAGCAATTTGGGGGGAGGTGCTGACAGCTCAGCAGAGGCTGCGGGGGTGGAGAGGGTGACTGAGCAAGACTTATGTAATAAAAACAGAAAGTCCTTGACCTCTGGTTAAATCTAGTAGAATAAACATGACTTTTCTCTTGTCCCTCAAAAACCCCAATAAAATGACAGTAAAGGAAAACCAAATGATATAACCCAATAAAAAAAAAGACTAGATAAGAGCTATGAAGAATTAAAGGCAAACAAACAAACAAACAAAAAAAACCCAGTGAGGCCAGGAGAGCAGGGAAGAGTCCACACAGAAGGCCCTGGGCCACAGCCCTCAACCCAGGCGGTGTCCTCAAGGTGGAGATGCACAGGACAAATGTGAGGGCCCCTTTCTCATCAGGGGGCTATGCCAGGCAGTGTGCCACTGTCAGACAACTGAACTGCAGGAGCTCTGACTTCAGGAGGACCTGGTATTCATTACCAAGTGTCTATCTACATGAATGCCCACAGGGTGAAATGTATTTAACCAGAGAAAAGAGGGAAGTTCTGGTCATGTGACAACACAAATGGCCCTTGCTAAAAAGCCAGCAAAAAGGCAACACGTCATATATGACTCCATTTATATGAAGTGTCCAGAAGAGGAAAGTCCAGAGACAGCCAAGCGACAGTCCCCTGGCCTGGGTACCTGGGGCGTGATGGCTGAAGGGTACAGGCTTTGATATGAAGAAACTGTTGCAAAGTTGTGAGACGGCTGTGCAATTCTATGAATATGTTTAAAAGCAGGAATCTCCTACTTAAGATGGGAAAGTGGTACAGCACACAGTCAGATCTGAGAACACTTAGGAACAGAGAAAACAGACACCCCCGCATCCCCGCGAAAGGCTCAAATTCAACACAGGACACATGCCAGGTTTTGGTGAGGAGGTAGCAGAAATGGAACACTACTGGTAGGAATGTGAAACCGCCCACTCCAGAGCCAAGAGTGGGTAATGACCCGAGAGAGAGAGAGAGAGAGAGAGAGAGAGAGAGAGAGAGAGAATGGGACACATACAAACATGTGTCGTGGCAACTGTACCTATCTACAATGACCAACAAAGGAGAGCCACCCAAACTTCCCTCCATGGTGAATGCATCAGCAACTGCAGTATACACACGCAGCAGAATACTATTTAGCCATAAAAAGGAACTAAAACTACTGCTGTATACAACAACACAGATAAATCTCAAGGGAAAAAAAATCACAAAAGCAGGCACAAAACAGCCCATGCTGGAGGGTGCACTGTATGAGACTCCAGAGTGCCAGGCTCAGTGTAGCCACAGAAGCCAGGCCCATGGATTGTCCAGGGCAAGGGCAGGAGGGATGCTGACACAGAAGAACAGAGGGGACTTGGGTGTGACAGAAATCTACACTGAGGTTGTAAACGCAGCAACCTGTCATTTAGAATGGGTACATTTGTGTGAATTATGTATCTGCAAGACTGATCTGAGGCAGCAAACCACACACCTATGCATGTAGGCTGTGAACTGCTGCGAGTGAGCAGGGCCTGGCCTAACAAAGAGGTAAACCAGCAGAGCGCACGCCAGCCAGGAGGGAAGCAGCTCAGGTGGCCGCTTTCTCGACACCATGGATTTCAGTCCCGGCCATGGCGCTGGTGAGGAACAGCAGGAGGAGAGGACGGCTGGCAGCAGCGGCACAGGAGACGTGGTGGCAGACCCTGTGTGCCATGCTGTCCCAGGCGCAGTCTTAAAACCTCCTGCCAACACCATTAAGTCCAGCTGCCTTGTGAGGACTGTCACCCCGACCTGCGGGTGAGCACTGCCTTTCCTCCTCCTCCACAGCAGACAGTGCAGCTGACAGATTGTTTGGCCAAGCCATGATGGCTGCGTGACAGGACGCTTGCTTTATGGCTGGTTTCTGGAAAGGCTCAATTCAACCCAGCAGAACTGTCTGACAAAAGTGACACAAGTATGAAAGACATGTTCTGTTCCTTGGAGAACAAGCTCCCCAGAGCTCACCTACCAGATGGATGCAGAGAGTCACTCCCTGAGCCCCACCCTACTTGGGCTGCAAAGAGTCCACAAGGAAGAAGTGAGCAGGTGATACAAAACACTGTGTGTTAACAACTTGCACAGTGCCACACACAGTAGAGCGCTGAAATTCTTAAGTGAAGACACATTTAAAAGTTACCCAAATCATGCTGACTAGAGAAAAAAGCTCCCTTTTCAATCTCAGTAGTTCCTCAGAAATATAAACTAGTACTAGCTCTCCATCTGGTGGTCAGAAGGAGAAGTGTCTCCAGGATGCCCTAGACACAGAACCAACAAAGGCTGCTGCTCTTTCAGGTCCACAGCAGCCAGCACCCTGTGTGCCATGCTGTCCCAGGCGCAGTCTTAAAACCTCCTGCCATCACCATGAAGTCCAGCTGCCTTGTGAGGACTGTCACCCCGACCTGCGGGTGAGCACTGCCTTTCCTCCTCCTCTACAGTATACAGTGCAGCTGACAGATCGTTTGGCCAAGCCATGATGGCTGCGTGACAGGAAGGGGCTACTCTGGTGAGCTCCGCAGGCACCCAGACCTCCCAAGCTACCCGTGCACCCTCAAGGTTAGGACCACTCCCTCCTCTGCCAGACAGTGAGCCCAGCCTGCTTAGCAAGTGTGTGAATCTCCTACACAGACTCTCAAATCAATCTTCTTTCTGGCCACTGCCTCCCCTCCAGTTACCCTGTGCCCATTCGAAGGGGCCTCCCAGCAACAAGACACTGCCACTCCCAGGAACTAAGGCGTGGGGACAGACCCACCATGTGAGCAGCACAGACTGCATCACTGCAGAGAGCACTGACTGCAGTACTCAGCAAGCACCCCAAGACCAGCGAGGAGAGTGCATCTCAGCAGCACAGTGCCATAGATCATGCACAGCCAAGGGCACAGTGAGAAGAAAGAAGAGAAGCTGAGGGTTTTGCAGAGATACCATGGTCCCAAATGAGGTATCGCCGATCCTTGGTCGGCAACCTTCAGTGGTGTCATCACCATCACCAGAGCTGCACAGGGTGCATACATGCGGTGCCAACCACGTCCAGCCCACTGCAGTCTCTCAGGCCAGCAAAGACAGAAACCCAGGAACAGCCTTTCAATCTGACAGTGACTGTTTACAAAATTGAACTTTATGATCAACTTCAAGAGAACTTGGAAGTGAGAGTCAAGGTGGTCTTTATATCCTTCACCTTTATTTTTT